GGTAGGCCCGAGGATCCACACCCTCCATCCTGTGAGAAATAAAACACACACAAAAGTGAAAAAGTGACAAAACGTGGGAGAAGTATAAATTAAATATAAAGTGGTCGTGCAGATTGACTGACCAGGCCCTGAGGGCCCGTAGCAAAAATTGCCCAGAACTTAGCCAAAAGGCACGGTCCTAAAAAGGCGCAGCGCAGGAAAAGTGTTTGAACACAGTGACCATGTGCCTTTTCACAGGCTGGGGTCCCACACCCAAGTGGGTAACTGTGTAATAGTGTCACGTACCAATGGAAGGAACAGCGCCCCAAGTGCCAGGTAAAAAGGCAAGATAAGGGCCACATCCTACCTACAGGCCGCAGTTTGGAGACCACTGCCATAGAGAATAAGTATTTAATATATAATTATAAGTTTTTGATGTCACACAATATTAGCGCAACAATTTATGAAATGCACAATTTCAGTAAAAAAAATACATTAAAGTTAATTTTAGGGCACACGAAGGCAATTACCCCAATTTCAGAAACGGCACCCCGCCTTTTCTAGCTGTGCGCGCTCCCTGGCAATCCGGTGCCCGCTGTGTCCTCCGGACACAGTGAAACACCAATCATCTCGGACGGGACCTCTGTACGAGGTCCCGATCATGTGATCACTGATTGGCCAATCAGTGATCACATGCAAAGTAGTAAGCAAGATGTCACTTGTGAAATCATTGCATTACTACGTGTGAAATCTGTGAATGATCACAGAGGTCACATGGTACAGGGCTATTCACAACAGCCTTGTACCATTGTGACAAGCTGTGACCAATCACAGCTCACTCAGTAGTTCTCAATGGCTGCAAGAATGCAGACAGAGAGAAAGAGAAATGATTGCTTTTACATCCTACATATATGGGTGTAAAAGCAATCAGTGTAAAAAAAAAAATCATCACCCCCCCCCCACAAGTAGTACAGTGTCACCATGGTAACACTGTACTGCTAGGGTGACAGTACGTAAAAAAAAAAAAATATATATATAAAAAAATAAAATAAGTGTAAAAAAAATAATGTTTTAAAAAATGATAATTTTTGGATATAAACTAATTTGTATTTTTGTTTACTAAAAAAATAACGGAATAAATTTTGGCCAAGATTTATGATGAAATATTATTTTATTTGCAAAATTTATAAAAAAAAAAAAAAAAAACACTTTTTTTTTTTTAAATTTATGGACATTTTCATTTACATAGCAAAAAAAATAAAAATCCCAGTGGTGAATAAATACCACCAAAATAAAGCTTTATCTGTCTCAAAAAAATGGCAAAAAAATTCATATGGGTACAGTGTTGCATGACCGCGCAATTGTCATTTCCAAAGTGTGTGATAGCACTGAAAGCTGAAATTGCCCTGGTCAGGAAGGGGGTGAAAGTGTCCGGGACAGGAAGTGGTTAAGAGCCTTTAAAAGGTCATCGGTTTTAGGAGAGTTAACCATGGGGGATGGGTTACAATGATTGCTCCTCACACTGGCATAAACAGGTATATGTAAGCTGAGTAGCGCAATCAACGTTTTCATGCATTCACACCCTGACAGTCCAATATTTTTTTATGAGAATTTTAAGTGCTTGGGCATAACTCTTTTTTTTACACTTTTGTTTACATTTTTTTTTCAACTAAACTTTTACATCACTTAGACCCTGTTTACAGGTCACATAGTGGGAGCACGGGTGTCCCACTAGCGATGTAAAAAAAGCATGATTTCACATGTGTAAAAGATGGATGGCACACAAATGTGCCTCCTGTTTTGCCAGGGCTTGGAATCAAGAAAATTCTGCTTATATGTGAATAGGGCCCATAGGGGACAAAGTCCTCCATGTGATACATTTTTTGGGTGACAGGTTCTCTTAAAGGAGGCATCAGGGGTCTGAAAGAATGAAACTAATAAGAGTGCAGATTGCACTGTACTGTGCGGTGTGTGATGCTAGATCCCTGCTCCCCTGCCTCCTGGAAGCTCAGATATACCCCTTGATCTCTGTACTATGGAAGGCTGTAGAAGAGAGAGTGCTACAGATAAAAAGGTACAGCTTATCTAAGAGGATTTGCTTTATTCCTGTGTATCATCCTGAAGCTTGACACTTTAGTGGGTTATACTGTATTTAAGTGTCTATTATCAGTTTAAAGTAACATGAGCCAAAATGATTCAAAACTGTCATTTTAAACCACTACAAAGTACAGTATGCTTTTTTAACCATTAGCCGCTCGGCCTTAGACGCTTGGCGGCCACAAAAAATGGTTTCGCTTTCCGGGGTGTACGCCATTTGGCGTCGTCCTGCATATGCGCAGTTCGCACGGTTGCAGAAACCGTGCAGCGGCACGATCTGTCACCGGTCGTGTATCTCGGACACACGGCTGATGACAGATCTGAGTACCAGCCCCCGTTGCCGGTACCATGTGACCTGCTGTGATCAATCACAGCAGGTCACATGACAGTTGTATACAATGGATGGCTTCATTCATGCCATCCATTGTATAACTAGTGTCTAGCTGTGAATGGTCACAGCAGGTCACATGCACATGTCATGTGATGTGATTAGCTGTGGCCAAATCACAGCTAAGCACAAAAAAAACCCCTGAATTAATCGATTTTATTCAGGTAAATGCTTGCTTATAGCAAAGTAATTCTTTGCTATAAGCAAATTGTGTAAAAAAAAATAAAAATAAAATAAAAATACTGATCATCAATTCCCCAAAGAAGTACAACCCATAGTAACATTGTACTACTTTGGTCATAGTAAAATATGAAAATCAAATCTTAAAAAAATAATAAAAAATGTAATGAAACATTTAAAATAATAAAAAAATAAAAAATATATATATTTTTTTTTTCATACTGGTCACCAGTCAGTGTCCCTGTTCACCGCCATGCCACTGGTGACAGTATGTAAAAAAAAAAAAAAAAAAAAAATAGTGAAAATAATTTTTTTTAATTTTTTCATTTTCCGAAAAATTATGACAAAAAAATACAACTTCAAAAAACTCCTAATGCCTCTTATGAAGTATGTCGGACTGTCTACTCTGCAAAAAGGGGTCATTTGGGGGATATCTGTACCGTCCTGACATTTAGGGGATATCTGTACTGTCCTGACATTTGGGGGATATCTGTACCGTCCTGACATTTAGGGGAGATCTGTACCGTCCTGACATTTGGGGGATATCTGTACTGTCCTGACATTTGGGCGCGCTCGCTCTCCTGTTAGGGATATCTGTACCGTCCTGACATTTGGGGGATATCTGTACCGTCCTGACATTTGGGGGATATCTTGTACCGTCCTGACATTTGGGGGATATCTGTACCGTCCTGACATTTGGGGGGATATCTGTACCGTTCTGACATTTGGGGGATATCTGTACCGTTCTGACATTTGGGGATATCTGTACCGTCCTGACATTTGGGGGATATCTGTTACCGTCCTGACATTTGGGGGATATCTGTACCGTCCTGACATTTGGGGGGATATCTGTGTACCGTTCTGACATTTGGGGGATATCTGTACCGTCCTGACATTTGGGGGATATCTGTACCGTCCTGACATTTGGGGGATATCTGTACCGTCCTGACATTTGGGGGATATCTGTACCGTCCTGACATTTGGGGGATTCCTGTCCTGACACATTTGGGGGATATCTGTACTGTCCTGACATTTGGGGGATATCTGTACTGTCCTGACATTTGGGGGATATCTGTACCGTCCTGACATTTGGGGGGGATATCTGTATTGTTCTGACATTCTTGGACCTCAAGAAATTAGATTGGCTGTCAGTACTTTCAGGATTGATCAATATTCAGATCTATACCATAGTTTGTGAACTCTATAACTTTCCTACAGACTAAATAATACATCCTAATTTGGGTTATTTTCACCAAAGACATGTAGCAGAATACATCTCGGCCTAAATTTATGAAGAACAATTATTTGTAAACTTTTTATAACAGAAAAACAAAGAAAAACATGGTATTTTTTTCAAAATTTTTGGTTTTTTTTGTTAATTTAGCAAAAAAAAAAAACCCCAGCGGTGATTAAATACCACCAAAAGAAAGCTTCTAGTTGTGTGTGAAGAAAATTATAAAATTTTAGTTTGGGTACAATGTTGTATGGACCGCGCAATTGTCATTCAAAAGTGTGTGAGAGCGCTGAAACCTGAAAAAAAATGGCCTGGGCAGGAAGGGGGAAAAAAAAAGTGCCCGATATTGAAATGGTTTAAAAAAAAAAAACAAAAAAAAAAAACCAAAAAAAAAAACAAAACACATTGCTCATAGAGGCATGGACACTGCCACTGCGGAGTATGCAAATTCTAACTGCCTACTTGTCACACTGATCCTCTTGCTTCAATACTTTGTGTCACTGAAGTGAAATAAGTACGTGAGAACATCTGGCCTTCCATATCAGTGTACTGGTTGCTGGTCACTTACTCAGAAAGCATAGAAGCAAGATAAATAGCATATTAACCATCCAGCTTTTTCATGTTAAACAATAGGCCTCTAGGTTTCTCTTAGGAAAGATTTACGTAAAACTGATGGCTAGGAAAGGTTTTAATAATTATTTTAAGACAGAGGGCAGAGAGATGAAAATTATTAATTTAACCTGTGCATTAAACCACGGGGTTGTAGCACAAATACAGCCTGAATTTAAACATTTTTTTCCAACTAGAACACAACTAAAACCTGAAAGTTATATGCGCTATGCAAAAATGATTCTGTAAATGTTGGTTGTGCTATAACCAAGCAGGTTCCTGATGCACAGTTAGTCATAGGGACATAATGGAACGATTTGGATGTCACTGCCCACTATCCAGAGATTAGTAATAAACCCCTTTGTTTAGTATTTCAGTTCATAAATTGCGCCATGCACATATCTGATGTTTTAGGAAGGAATACTGGAGTTTTACTTAACTACTTGCCGACCGCAGATAGCCGAATGACGGCTACACTGCGGCCGGCCAGTTCTGGGTGTGGGCGTCATATGAGGTCCTCCCGGTACACGTTCTCCTGCGAGCCCCTGGGGGCGCGCACCCGGTGATCTCCGTGATCGCTGTGTCCTACCGACACAGCTGATCACGTGATGTGGTAAAAGGCCAATCACAGCGGCCTTTTACCACGTGATCAGCCGTGTCCAATGACACGCTGATCACCGGAAATGCAATTGCCGGTTGTCGGCTGCACTTTCCTCACGCTGTCAGATCGTGAGGAAAGTACTGCCGAAAACCGGCAGTTGTTAGAGCAGGAATTGGCACCGATCATTAGGGCACTGATGATCAGTGCCCTGATGATCGGTGCCCAGCAGTGCCACCCACAAGTTCCGCCTACCTGTGCCCAGCAGTGTGCCTACTAACTCCGCCCACCTGTGCACCCACCTGTGCCCAGCAGTGCACCCACTAGCTCCGCCCACCTGTGCTCAACAGTGCACCCACCTGTGCCACCCAGCAGTGCCCAGAAGTGCCACCCACCTGTGCCCAGAAGTGCCGCCCACCTGTGCCCAGAAGTGCAGCCCAGCAGTGCTGCCAGTCAGTGCCCAGCGGTTGTGCAAGTCAGTGCCCAGCAGTGCTGCCAGTCAGTGCCCAGCAGTGCTGCCAGTCAGTGCCCAGCAGTGCTGCCAGTCAGTGCCCAGCAGTGCTGCCAGTCAGTGCCCAGCAGTGCTGCCAGTCAGTGCCCAGCAGTGCTGCCAGTCAGTGCCCCAGCAGTGCCGCCAGTCAGTGCCCAGCAGTGCTGCCAGTCAGTGCCCAGCAGTGCCGCCAGTCAGTGCCCCCTATCAGTGCTGTCTATCAGTACCCATCATCAGTGTCGCCTATCAGTGACACCTCATTAGTGCTGCCTATCAGTGCCCATCAGTGCTGCCTCATCAATCAATGAAGGAAAATAATTACCTGTTTGAAAAATTTTATAATAGAAACAAAGAAACTTTTTTTTTTTAATTTTTTGCACTTTTTTTGTTTTATAGCGCAAAAAGTAAAGTGCCCAGCGGCGATTAAATACCACCAAAAGAAAGCTCTATTTGTGAGAAAAAAAATTATAAAAATTTCATATGGGTACAATCTTGCATGACCGCGCAATTTTCAAAATGTGACAGCCCTGAAAGCTGAAAATTGGCCTGGTAAAAAAAAGGGGGTATAAGTGTCTGGTAGGCAAGTGGTTAATTAAACAAAACAGAAGGACACCATTGTCCTAGCACTACTATGAACAGTTACACTACCTGGTTGCGTTGTGGCAGATAGCAAAGAATGAACGTAAAGTGCAAATTGTGCCCTGATCCATTCATCACCACCCTCCCAGCCTGTGCCATCAAGGAAAACATTCCCGGTTTTCAGTGACATGTTTTACTAAGTGGTCAATGAAACGGAGGTCGGCTGTTGTTGGGTTCAGCACCTTCCTCAGTTCTGGGTCATGAATATTGATTCGTGCTTCTTCAACCTGGATTTCAGATACAAGAATAAAAAAACATTAAATATATACCCTAACCACTGGAAATTTACAGGAAGCAAATGGTCTATGACTATACAGTGCACGCATTCATAACAATCTGGCATCACAATGCACATAATATACTCCAAGTGTTGGCAGCTTTTTTTTTTTAGGATTTTATTGCTGTCTATCTCCTTGGAGGAAATAGATCCTTACTTGTTGTCCTGGTAACCACTATCAGTGATGGGAGATCAAAAAATGACATGATTGTCACTGGGACAGGAATATAGAGCAAATCCTACAATGGGGACAGTTCCAGTGACAACTAAAGTGGTATTTACTACTCCCATCAGAGAGGTTTTCATGGACGTGTCTAAATCTATCTTTCCTCTCAAGCAGGGGTGGCTAACCTGTGGCTCTCCAGCTGTTGTGGAACTACATTCCCATGAGGCATTGCAAAGATGGGAAGTTACTGACTTGCAGAGGCATGATGGAACTTGTAGTCCTGCAGCAGCTGGAGAGCCGCAGGCTGGCCACCCCTGCGTCAAGCATAATCCGTATTCCAAGGCTTCAGAGGCTACTGAGAGGTGGTGCAGAAGCGATGTGACGCCTCCTCACCACCACCGGTCTCAAACTTTATGCCTCTTTGAATACACCGTGTTTAAACATCATATTTCATTTATTTAGGGTGATCTTGCTCCTGCTTATAAGTATGGGTTTGATCCTGCCATTCCCCCTTCTTCCTTGTTATAAACTGACCAAGCAATACAAGGAAGCTGATCCTGCTTGAGGGGCGAGTTTGCCGCCAATGGTGGAGTTTTAGGCTACGTTCACACTAGCCTTGTGTGCAGGCGGCAGTAGAGGCGTTTTGGGAAGCGTTTTTACCGCTTCCCAAACGCCTCTGCCAATTCTGCACATTACAGCACATGGTGCTGTTCTAACAGGAGCGTTCGCGTCGCGGCAAAACGGACGCCTCTGGTCGAGTCAGGAGGCTTTGAAGCCTCCTATTCTCGTCTCTATGGTGCCGCTCCGCAAACGCCCAGCCGGAGTTTGCGGTTGCGACGCGGTTGCGGAGCGGTAACACCACTCAAATGCATTATAGGCGTTTGTGGGGCGTTATTAACGCTCGGCAAACGCCTAGCAACCGCCGCTAAAACCGCGCATGCGGCATTTGCCGAGCGTTAAAAACGCTCCGCAAACACCGGACCAACGCTTGCCAAACGCTATAGGGGCGTTTGGCAAGCGTTGGCAAAACAGCCTAGTGTGAACGAGCCCTTACTAAAACCGGACTTCTCAGAATCTGGTGCAGCTGTGCATGGTAGCCAATCACCTTCTAATTCCAACTTGCTCACTTAAGCTTTGACAATAAAACTCGGAAGCCGATTGGTCTCTATGCAAAGCAGCACCAGATTTTACACCCTCAATAACCCCCAATGTCTTCTCATTCAATGGTAGAGGATGCTTGGCAAGCACACAGCGTGCCTATATCTTCCATGGTCTTTTTGCTCATCCCTACACTGTGCTATGCAGATCATATAGCCACGCCCACCAACCACTGTGCTGAGCTGTGCAGAGGATTGCAGTCACCTTACATTGGAATAGAAAAAAAAAAAAAAATTTACACAGCAATTTTATAATTTTTTTTTTCCAGATTTAGAAAAGATCTCGCTATTACAAGCCAATTCTTTTTCTTTTTTTAGTAGGCACCAAGGATTTACAACTACTTTTAAACCTTTTTTTTTGTGGGTTTCATTTACATTGTTTTTGTAAAATAGCATTTCTTTTACAGCTAGTTGTAGTTCGTCACAATAAACTGCACTCTAATGTAGCCATTTCGTAGCTTATTCAATCCACCTCTTCAGTTCTAATGAATGCCAAGTATACCCTAGTATTTGTATTTTTTTATTTTGATTGTCTAAGAATAGGGGGGGGGAGAGGTGTAAAATTGTGGAACCACCCTATTCTAGTTACAAAAGTCCACCTTTGGAGGGAGATTTACTAAAAACTGGAGCACTCAGAATGTGGTGCAGCTGTGCACGGTATCCAATCAGCTTCTAACGTCAGCTTATTCAATTAAGCTTTGACAATAACATCTGGATGTTGATTGGTTTTCTATGCAGAACAGAACCAGATTTTGCACTCTCCAGTTTTTCCCCCCTTGGTGTCAGGAAGTCTGCAAATCTTATTAACCACTTGCCGTCCGCCTGCTGTTTATAAACGGCAGGGCGCTGGCACTCCAGGGGCGGGTTGCCGTTCATAAACGGCAGCCGCCCTTTCTAGCTGTGCGCGCTCCCTGGGAGCGCGCACCACCGCGATCTGGTGCCCCGCTGTGTCCTCCGGGACACAGTGAAACACCGATTGTCGGACGGGACCTCTGTACGAGGTCCCGATCATGTGATCACTGATTGGCGCATCAGTGATCACATGCAAAGTAGTAAGCAAGATGTCACTTGTGACATCATTGCTTACTACGTGTGAAATCTGTGAATGATCACAGAGGTCACATGGTACAAGGCTATTCACAACAGCTTTGTACCATGTGACAAGCTGTGACCAATCACAGCTCACTCAGTATTTCTCAATGGCTGCAAGAATGCAGACAGAGAGAAAGAGAAATGATTGCTATTACATCCTATATGGGTGTAAAAGCAATCAGTGTAAAAAAAAAAAATCATCATCATCACCCTCCACAAGTAGTACAGTGTCACCATGGTGACACTGTACTGCTAGGGTGACAATATATATATAAAAATAAATAAATATAAAAAAAATAAAATAAAAATGTAAAAAAAAATGTTTAAAAATTATAATTTTTGGTTATAAAACTAATTTGGATTTTTTTTTTTTTACTAAAAAAAATAACGGAATACATTTTGGCCAAGATTTATGATGAAATATTATTTTATTTGCAAAATTTTATTTAAAAAAAAAAAACACTTTCAAAATTTTTTTTGGACTTTTTCATTTACATAGTAAAAAAAATTAAAATCCCAGCGGTGAATAAATACCACCAAAATAAAAGCTTTATCTGTCTCAAAAAATAACCGGATGGTTTAAAAAATTCATATGGGTACAGTGTTGCATGACCGCGCAATTGCCATTCAAAGTGTGATAGCGCTGAAAATTGCCCTGGACAGGAAGGGGGGTAAAAGTGTCCGGACAGGAAGTGGTTAATCTAATACTACATTTTTTTTCCAGATTTAAAGGATAAGTTCACCTTTGGAACAGGTTACGTGTTCCCCACGAATTTTTAGGGTGGAACATGTAACATGTTCCCATAGCCGAAGCGCCGCCACCCGCTGCCCCACCTCCCTCGACAGACAGTACAGGGGAAACTTCTCCCTGTACTGTTAGATTTGAAAACAGCGTGGCGGTGCGGGGGTTTCACCCACATGGCTACGTCATTCATTCACATACTTCGGTGAATGAATGAAACTGCAAGTCCCCACAGCCTTAGCAGATGTCCGCTTGTAGTTTTCAATGAACTATGGCGCTCATTCAAGCTTCTTGTCAGAATATCTGCTGGTTTGTACATCCCATATGGCAAGTAGATATTCTGACAGATCTGCTGGAGACCCGCATGGTAGAGATCTACTGATCGCTGGAGCAATGCTTTCCAGGCTCCTTTGGACAAAAATAATAAATGCACACTTTTTACCTGCAAAAAAATGTGCATTTATTATTTCTGTCCAAAAGGTGAACTTATCCTTTAAGCACAACTAAAGAGATCTTATGGGTTGTTTGCCTCAAGTAAGCGCAGACTAACGCTACATGAAATTACTTTTTATCCTCAGAACATGAGCATACGAGTTTTCAAGAGTTTCATGTGCAGCCTAAATATCAAAAACACACAAAGTTTACATAAATCACTCATGTGCAGTGATTTCTAGAGTCAGGCCAGCTCCCCGCTTTATCATGTGCATTTTACTGACCATTCAACCCACATCAGACCAAGGCAACATCTTCTGTGTGATCTATTCCCTGTGCCGGAGAGAAGGTGATGACCTATTTCTGTTGTAGCTGAGTGACACCCCCCTCCTCCTCCTTTTACTTTTGCATCAGCCA